GAATAGCCTGAAACTAACTGTCAGTACCCTCTAAGTTTCTTATCCTCAACTGAGCAATGTGATTTTAGTCCTGGATGACAATACCTGATTTCACTGTTTGACTGATTTCACAATATGACTGTTTTCCTTCCCCAATCCATATGCAAAGTCCATTTTGTAATAGAGCAACTACACAAATAAAGAAGGGGATGCAGGGGAGAGAACAGAATGGCAAATCTAGAGAGTGACAGAGAGTGGGATAATAGCCCTTTTTTATAGAAGAATCATCACATGGATAAGAAAGTTGATTCATTCTTGTTTAAGCTCCTGAAGCGGAGGTAGGATCAAAGAGGGAGAATTACAAAGAGAGAAGTTTAGCTCAAGCCCCTCAGCTTCTCACCAGTGAAGAGACTTCTTCCAAAGTAGTGAAATCCTACCATGCGGAGGTCACATGGAAACACAAGGAAAATGTATAGAAGTTTCATCCAGTGCAATAACACGGGACTAAATATGACTTCTAAGATCCTTCCTAATTCTAGGTCATTGTGATTTCCAAAGGTTATGAGTAGAAATGACCAACCCAAATTTGATGATATCTTTGGGGTTTGTTTCTTTGTTATTTGGTATTTGTCATCGTTGTTCTTACAGTATTTTTTTCTTGAAGCCTGGAGGTTTCCTTAAGAGAGTAATATGCATATCTTATTATAGTCCCAAGTATTCCTATAAGCAATACAAGAAAGCTGCTGTACTGTGACATCATTATTAACACATCCTCCAGAACGCAGCTTATTTTAGCGTGGACTGTCAGCATCTCTCTAACGCCTGTCCTCACATCTCTCTTCTCTCCACCGCTGCTGACGCCATTAGCATGCTAACCCACATTTCACTCTCTGGGACTAAACCTATCCTCAGACAGAAAATTGATAAGGGGTTTTCATCACTCAGGTTTCTCCACTCTAAATCAAAGAGGTTTTAATAAATGAATTTCTTTCTGCTTTGTTTCCCCCACCTGTCTACCACTTTTAGTAGTTATATCCTTTACTCCTTTTTGCCTCACTCTGTACATTTATGAAATACCCAGAAACTCAGCATAAAACATAAAATCAAGCAATGTCCGAATGGTTGATTTTCTTCTATTCAGAGGATCAGAATTCCTTTCCTTTGCCTGTCCCTCCACTCGGGCCCTGATGAATGACTGCAGCGCCTTCCACAGGAATGTCTGGTTGCATCTTGCTGGGCCTTTACTGCTAACTGCTCCTCTGGGGTTCCGATGAACCTATTTTCATACTGTTTGGGTAATGCCCTCTACCTACCTGGGTGAATCTGCTCCCATCAACTGCAGAGAGGTGTGTCTCCTCCAGAGCACTGTTTATGGCTATTGGTGAGTGGATGTAAATTGTCTGTCTATATTTATCTGCAAAGGATGAGCATAAGGGACTCTGGGCTGAAAGCTGGAGAAAACTTACTAAATGGGCGACTTGGAAAAAAAATCCTTAAATTCCTTGAGTGTCAGTTTACTTATAAGTAAAATAAGATATTTTCTATTTATAAGGGTAGCTGGTTCAAAAGAATTGAGACTAATGTAAGAGAAGGGATTCTATAAGCAGAAAACCTAATGAAATGCGAAGTGTTTTGATTTATTTATATTTTTACTTCTCAAGCCCCAGGATCCTTCTTTTCTGGTACAAAGTCCCCAGAGTTTTGGCAGAACTCTCACACAGTAGCTTTATATTTATAAAGCATAGCTTTGTAATTAAATTAAGAACAAAAAATCCAGACTTGAAACACAATTGTTAAAATTATTATCTTAATTCTCCTATTTAGAACATCCTTAAATATTTCATGAGTTTTGTAATACTAAAAAGTGCTAAATAGTTTGTTTAGTTCTTCTAATTAACACAAAAGGTTCAAAGAGAACTGCATCATTAATCACTGATTAGTAATGCTTTGGATAGTAATAAACTATATGCACCCTCCAATTCCAAGCACTGGGCTTCACAAGTTCAGAAAATGCTATCAGGGCTATCGTCTTCTCATATGAAGGGGGATTCAAATAACTGTCAGTGCAGGGTGGTGGTTAAACTTCAGACTCTGAAATCAGACTGTGCGAGTACAAATCTCAGCTCTGCCAACTATGCCCTGCATGACCTTGAGCAAGTTCCTTCCTGTCTCTAGGTCTCAGTTTCTTCATCTGTAAAATGGGCAGAATAACATTACCTAGTTCATAGGGTTATTATGATATTCAAAGAAAGTAACATATGAACTGCCAAGTAATGAATAGAGCTCCATAAATGATTACTATTACTATTATGTGAGTTTTATTCACACCTGAATAATTAAAATAATGAGTTAAAGTTGGACCAGGTCTTTTCTTATAAGTATTCAAAAAAAATCTAAATATATCCTTTCATCTGAGATCTTAGTGGGTTTTATTGTGATCCTTTTTTCAATGCCAGCATGGTCTCCCTAAAAAAGCACACTAGAAACACTCATAAAGCTTTCTTTATTTATCACTGACTCCAACACAGAGGTCTCTATCAAAACCCACAGGACTGTCAGTACATCATCTCTTATATTAGATTTTTTTTCTCCTTCAAGTTACCTTTTCCTTGCCAGAAAAGGTGACCTTTTATAGTTTAGATCATTCAAACTAACTCTGTAGTAGAGAAGGTCATGGCTCTTTTCAATGATTCTTACAAGGAGACTACTGGAAGTACAAAGGAGGCTAGAGTCTTTACTTTTATTAAGCTCACATGGAATGCTGAATGAACATTAAACCCTATTCACCTTTCCCACATCCCTAATTCCAGAGAGCGACTGGCACCTAGCCCTGTCATGATATGTTTCACACTCGTTAGCCAAACGCTTGGCAAGTACACATCAATGTTAATACTGCCAGGTTTGATGATCAGTGTTTAAACTGCTGTTAAAATATTTAAATATTATAATTGGCTGCCTTTGCTCTTTTATCCAAAAGCTTAATTTATTCCAGTGACAAGCCTTAATTCTCTGACATATTTGAGACTTATGTCCAATATTAGGAGAAGCCTAGCTAAAACCACAGGGTCTGTGTCCAGATTTATTAATCCCATACTGTTATTCAGTTTAAACCTTTAATTATATCATTGAAACTACTCTGGGCCGGCCCGGTGGCGCACTTGGTGGAGTGCGGCGCTTGGGAGTGCGGCGGCGCTCCCGCCGAGGGTTCGGATCCCATGTGGAGACCGGTTCCCGCTCACTGGTTGAGCGCGGTGCGGGCGCGACACCGAGGGTTGCAATCCCGTTGCCGGTCCCGAAAAAAGACAAAAAGGAAAAAAAAAAAAAAAAGAAACTACTCTGCTAAGCTGTTTCTATCTCCATTCCATAGCTAATCTCTGGATATTTTCTTCTATAATACAAAAAGATAAGATCTTATCTGATTCTAGCAATACATAACTATAAGTACATCTTTCTATTCTAACTGTATATTCAGACATAAATGCTAGAAAGGAGGGGTAAGGGGCGTGGAAAAACAAGAAATGCAAATGAGTCTGATACCCCAGAAATGAAGGGCAGCATAGGAGACTTCTATGAACTACCTAAAAAAGGAGTCAGAAAAGGTGAAACTAAAAAGATAGGTCTGGCAACATTTGCTTTTCATAATAGATCAAGGACAAAGACCATGATACCTTTATGAGTTTCTTGAGTTTATAATTTATAGCTTCCCCCGTATTTGTTCATGGTTGTTGTTGAAATGCCTGTCAGCATTCTGTAGTGATTATCATTACAGTCCTTGGAAAGAAGAAGATCTGTGTGGTGGTTTATGGTACCTGATGAGCTGGGACCTGGGACAGAATGAACAGCAGTCTGTTCTGCTATGAATTCTGGAGACAGAAGACCCCACAGACTATAGCAGATCTGTGGAGAGAGAAGCCTGCCTGGTTCGGCCCTTTTAAGATTTGCTCCCAACCAGCCTAAGCACTCCAGTCTGTAGGTAAACAGACTATCCTAGTGACACTGAGCATTTTACAAAGCAGTAGTCTACTGGCTTCCGTCCACTGGCATGATCCCAACCCTATCTCTGTCCCTGACCCTCAGCCCTTCTCTCATTCTTCCATGTCCTAGCCTGATTCATTAAATACCATATTTTCTAGACTCTGAATTCATCTCCATCTTCTAATTATACATCTCTTCTCTTCTCATACAAGAAACACCTTCTTATCTGCTGAATCCATGGAAACTACAGAAGAAAAGATAGAGGGAGGCTGAAGAATTCACATCCTGGCTGCAGAAATAAGCTCAGAGCTGAGTCAGAAGGAGGCCTATTCATTTATCCATTTCCACAGGAGAAACAAATTCAGATACAAAATGTTGGTTTGTCTATGTAACAATTATCTAGTTTTTTCGATATCCATGTGATTAGTCTTTAAAACAAATGATCTGGATGTTCAGCATCATATCTACATGGCCATGACATAGGAATTAACAGCAGGACTCTAGAGCAGTACTCTCCACAAAGGAGGCCGCATGTGCCTACGGAACGCTCGAGACGTAGCTGTCCAAATTTAGATGTGCACCTGATTTTGAAGACTTAATATCAAAAAAAGGATTAAAAGAACAGAATGTAAAGTATCTCATGACTTTTTCTTTTATGTTGATTACATGTTGAAAGAACATTTTGGATAAGTTGAGTTAAATAAAATATATGCTTTTAATTTTTCTTTAGTTATTTTTTTATTTTTTTTTCCTTTTTTTGTGGTAAAACATACGTAATCTAAGGATTGCCATTTTAAGAATTTTTAAACATGTAATTGTGTGGTGTTAATTACATTCACAATGCTGTGTGACTACTACCTCTATCTATTTCCAAAACTTTTTCATCATCCTAAATATAGACCTTGTACCCATTAAGCAATAGTTTCTCATTATTCTTCTCCTTCTCCCCCACCCCCATTTCTGGTAACCTCTAATCTGAATTTTTTTGGTTTTAATTTATTATTAAAATATATTCTTAAAATTAATTTCCCTTTTTTTCACTTTTTAAGATCTGATTACTAGAAAACTTAAAGTTACACATGTGGCTGGATGTTTCTATTGGACAAGGCTGCTCTAGAGCATCCCGCCTGGCTTCAAATCCCGGCCACCACACACAAGCTGCATGTTCTCAGACAGGTTACCTAATTTTCTCATCTGTGAAATGGCAATGATAATAGTTCCTGCCTCTTAGGGTGCGCCTTTGTACCCTTCTATTAGCAAATCAATGGATATGAGTTGTTCCCTGGAATGGGGCCTGACCTCTAGCAAGGCAGTATTCTTCAAATAAGGCAGTCCCCAAAGGAAGACTCTACTGAGAGCCAAGCCACCAATACTCCCAGCACCTGGAGGAAAGAGTGCATGGGAGGCATACCAACCATCTACAACAACTTCTGTTTGCATAATGGAAAGAAATTTTATGAAAAATTAAGAGAAGTTAGGAAGATTAAACCATCAAGTTTGTTAATACAGACTACTAGTGTGCAGAATTCCAAGCCTAGTCAAGGTAATGTTCTTCCACTGCCAAATCATAAAAATAAGTTTCCTCTATGTACGTTATTTGGAAGTCTGTTGATGTTCTTCCTGAAAAGTAATTAGACAAAAAATAAAGATGCTTATCTCTGTGCTTGGTAGAATACTTGATAAAGCAGATAGGAAATACCCAAATTTCTAATAGCTGAGTATAAGCTAATTGATGAAATAAGACAAATTTCAGGAATTTGAAAGGCAAATAACAATAGTAAACAATACACATTAAATGTCTAATGAATGGTATAGACAATTCTTCAGAACAGTTAAAAATCACAAGGGCTGAATGAATTGATAGTTTGTAAAGGAGGTGTTCCAAGCAGGAGAAGTGAAATGACCAACATACAATGGTAGGAATCAACATGGCATGCTTGCACGACACACATATACCAATTTGGATGTAGTGAAGTTTCCTGTCGAACAGTACAGGAGGTAAAACTAGAAACATAAATAGGAAGCAGGCTGCACTAGAGGAGAAATGCCACCACTTCAAGCTAGAGTACTAGGGAGGTAGGGTAAGTGCACAGAAGTGACTTGGTAACATTAGTTTGGTAGACTGTGCCCCCTAAAATCTCTTTAACTCCCCTGACAGTCTGCATCCTTTCAAAACAATGCTGATCTAATTATTTTTACTCAATTTCATCATATGATATCTTTCCCACTTTATTAATAAGTGGGCCTTCAATACATTGGAAGCTCCTTGGGACAGGGCTTTGCTTAAGAATATCACACATGGATAATAATCAGAAAAGAATATACTATTAATTGCCATTTATTGTTGAGAAAGACAAACTAATAGATCTAACATAGAAAGATTAGTCATATGTGATTAAGTGATTATTAGATGCTACTAAAGTTGCATTAAAATCTTAAAATATGGCAAAAAAAATTAGGAAGTGGTGTGAGATCAACTAACAGTTAATAATACAGAAACTAAAGAGAAAGCTTCTTCTTTTGGACAATGATTAGGAAGGTGTAACTGAAGGATGCCCCACCGCCGATGGAAATTGTTTAATCTTTCTCTTCTAACTTTAAAGAATGAAAACACAAACTTTAATTATCAAAAAAGAGGCTTTGCTTAAAATACCGCAAACTCACATTCTCTTTATCCTATAATGGTGGCCTGTGTTTTGTGTGTTTGCCATTGGTTTCTTCAGACTCAGATAAGTCCCAAAGAAGGGTGGCAGGTGTACAGCTCAGCCCAGGATCCTGATGGGCGATGCATTTGCACAGTGGTTGCTCCGGAGCAAAACCTGTGTTCCCGGGATGCCAAAAGCAGGCAACTTCGTCAACTACTGGAAAAGGTAGGTGTCCTGTGACCCTATGCATATTTTTATTAAAATTTACCATTCCTTGGAAAGGAAATATAATAGAGCAGGTAATGGTGAAGAGTGCCCTGCTGATTTTTATCCCTCTTTTCAAATAAGGTATTTCTGGTCCCTGAAAAGGGTATCTCAGTCTTCCTACTATATTGTTGTATTTCTATGACTTTTTACTTTTCTCATCCTTCCTTTCTTAAGACTCTCTCTCTTCTGTCTCTACCATATGTCTTAATATACAGTCGGTCTCTCTTTAAGTAAAAAAAAAAAAAAGCATGAAGTCTTACTCTGATGCCAGAAATTCAGGCTCAACTCTCAGAATCACACTAGGCTCTTTGAGCTCATAATTTTGGATCCCATTAACAGCCTTGCAAGGAAGTTAAAATAATGGCTTGCAATATGCAAGCTATCTGGACAGATAATGAATAATTCTAAGTACTTATCATCATTTTCTAAGTCATTCCTTTGAACATTTAGCTCTTCAGTTTCATTCAATATCATTCTTTCCATAATTTACTTAAGCTGGATCCATAACAATCAAATGCAGAATGCTCTTGATTTATTCTCTTTTACAGATAAAAGTCAGCTCATGAAAGGTTATTTATGTTTAGTTAAGGGGGACAAAACCAGTGAATGGTTCTTTCAAATTTCCCCATTCATACTTTCACTGTGCTAGGCTGTGAATATAGTGGGACAGCTGGGGTGGCCAGCCTGATGGAAGGATGACAACATGTTTGAATTTTAAATATAATCAGGGATAATAGGATAAATTAGGTAGTATGTGTTCTAGAGGACATCATGCTCAACAATTCACACTGCAACATCGTTTTTAGAATTACCCACACATTGTGGTACTGAATAGGAACTTTATAATAGAAAATTAAAAGAAGCAAGAAAAATGAAAGAATCGAGTTTGTTAATAGAGACACCCCTAGTTTTCACAATTTCCTGTGAAGCCATGGTAACTTTCTTCTTCTTCCATATAATGAAGATAAGTTTCCTCTGTGTACGCTGTTTGGAAGTCTGTGGATGTCCTAAGATTTTAAATTTTTTTTTCATGTTTTTTATTTTGTTTTGTTTTTTGCTTTGGAGGTGGTCTTTCATATTTTATACAAATCTTAGTCTGTTTCTCTTTCCCCTTTCCTTGGAGACATTATCACCTATTGACTCTCTCTTCTTAAGCCTCCTTTTATGGTAAGATTCCATGCTCCCTGCTCCCTCAAAATCTGTCCCCAGGCAAGAGCATATGTCATTTCATTCAAACTAATTAAGCTAGCTAATATGCCTCTTAACTATTAGAAATCATACACATGGATTATGATTATTCTTGGGTGTGGTTTTTCAATCTTGATTTTATTTCTATGAAAAATTTTCAAATATATACTTTAATTTTGTTTGGTTACCAGGGAAATTAATTACATTAGTAAAAAAGACTTCATCTTTTAAATCCACTTTTGCTTTTCTGTTCAATTGTATCTGCCTTCAGATTACTGACATTCTGCACCAATCTTTTCTATGCAGAAATATATTTTTCTACATCAAATACTGTGAGAAACATTTTCTTAGACACCATACCTTTATTTTCTGTATTACTATTTTTTAGTGTAGCGTTGCATACTCTCTCTCTCTCTCTCTCTCTCTCACACACACACACACACAGACACACAGAGACTCAGACATTTCTTTAAAAATTAGTCCAAGAAATTCAAATAAAGTATGAATGTCAAGAAGCAAATAGTTCTTGATACAGATGCAAAATTAAATGTATTTCAGAGCTACGCTAGAACTAAGAATTAGTAAAATAAATAAGGCAAAAAAGTATGAATAGAAGGTTGGTTGAAAGCAATCATGGTTATTAATATGACCATTCCATCTAATATGTAATTTGTCGGAATGGTTTCAAGAAATTCTAGAAAATCTCACCTTTAAAAATTCATCAAAACCTAAATGACAAAAAACAAATAAAATTTATTAACAAAATCTAAGTCACCACAGTTAAAATTATCAAATTTACCATATGATATTTTAATGCCAACAGAGGAAGAGAACATTTTGTGTACTATTTAGTGGCCTGATGGAGGTAAGTAGTATTGCACTGATCCAAAGAAAAGACATCTGAAGTGACCATTCTTTTTTAGCCTGAGCCAGTTCCTTGCTGACTTCTCTACAGTATCACATATATCCAAGGTACCAGACAAACAGGGGAGTGACATGTAAGCAGCCAATTCACTGTTAACCAAAATGATTCATTTAGTCATATAAAAGGGAATACAGTTAATAAGAATAATATTAATAATAATAATTTCTATTATTATTATATTTTTATTATATTTTTATCTACTCCATTCAGTCCTTAGTTATCTTTCTAGGTTGACATAAAAGGAAATTGGTGCTTTTTGAGGCTAAATCTTTCCAATGTCACTCAACCAATAAGTTATGGAGCTATATCAGACGAGTTTCACATTTTCTTAACACAATGTCAGTGTTATATAGAATGCCACTGGTGGTATGTACCCGCTTTTATTTAAGTGATTCTCTTTCAAACATTTTTAACAAGTACTTCAAAAAGTTCATGGAAAAAGCGAATTAAAAGATAATACAAATTTTATCATGAATGGTTTGAAGTCCCCTCGTATTTGTATCACTGAGTATGAAGAAAAATACACTTGGTTTCATGGTATTTCAGGTCTTAGTATGCCAAAACCAAAATTTTTCACTTAGAAACATATTTATTTGTAAACTCTGTAGCTTCTCTGTACAGTTGAAGATGTTCTGCATTGTCTAGGTCAATATTTCCTAAATTGTGATTTTTGGAATATGGTTCTGCCAACATTGTTATCCATAAAATAAGTTTAAGAAACACTGTACATGACACTTTACTCTTGAAGATTTCTAAGCCACAGTTTAATACTAAAAGTTCTGTGAAGTCCCATAGTCAAGAAATATCTGTTTACTTTTGTTATACCCAAGGGTATCCAAACATATTGAATCACAGAACTTTTTTTATCCCTCAAGTAGCCTCCCAGTTAATTACAAATGAGAGTAAAAAATCTAAGCTAATTTCTGTTTAAGTTCAGAAGGGACTCGACTCAGACATTTTATTTGTACAAAGAACCAGGATAAATAAAGAGTTCAAAAGAATTATCAGTGAAAGGGGACAAAGAGCTTGTCTAACTATGTTGCAAGAGTCTAAGCACAGGAACACGTGTGGAAAGCTGCATTGCAGAACATCAGAGACAAGCAGACTAAAGGAAGAAACACAGCAGACAGGTCTCCTTCCTACAAGTACAGTCAGGGTTATCCAGTCTCCTGTATCATCAGGAAACTAAGCCTCCATAACCAGTGGAAAACTAAACTATCCTGGTACAGCCAGCAGCAAAAGCTAATGGCAACCCAGAGTAAAATCCTTCCCGACTAGATAGCTGTATCTCTAGCCATTACCCCAAATGTAGCTCTTATAATTGTACATGGTTCTGAAATATAAAAGGCCACAATCAAGTCTCAGCAAAAATTTGCTCAGTGCATTTTTCCACAACACAAATTAATTTGAAAATTAAGTTGATAGGGTGAATCAGAGGCAAAATTTTTTTAAAAAAAGACTATTTTAACTTTACCCATAATACCTCCTCTTGCCCATTTAAATGGGTAGATAGTTTCTTTACCACAAACAGCTTTTCTTTATTTATGCTTAACTATAAATGAAGTTAGAAAATCGTTTTGAAAGCATTGCATTTATCCACAATGGCATTACCATGCTTTCAACATTGTCTCAGTAATTTTATGCTGCACTAAAGATTTAAAAAAACATTACATTTGCATTTCTGAATATAAGGATGATAGTAAGTTAAGAAATATTTGGTAGTCCTCTAATGTGATAACATAACCAGTGACAGTAGGGAGGAAACTCTCCTTAAAACCTCAAAATTCTAATTACCCATTACTACTACTGAAAACATGGGATAATTTTACACAATAAATATTTATCGAGCACTTATTCTGTGCCTGGTTCTGTGTGAGGTCCTGGAAGTAAAAGATAAGAGTAAGACACAGCTTCTAAGGTGATGGAACACGCAAAGGGAGAGCCACTTCTCTGTCCCCACCCCAAACACACGTTACATAATTAGTTTTGACATAAGCAACTGTGATATGTCCTGAAAAGGCAAGATTCATATAGGGCAGGCCTTTGGGCCAAGGCAGCAAAGGAAAAACAAAAAGGATAATGGATCTTGGCTGACAAGAAAAGTGGAAGAACTGAGGCAGGCCCATGCAGGCCAAGGCAGGAGAATTCACTGCCTTTTTTGAACATTACTGTTCTCGGGAATATCTCAACCACAGGCTCTTCACAACTGGCTGGCCCACTAAGCTTTGTGGCTTTACCTGATGATAGTAAAGTGTCTCTGAACAAATCATCCCTTTGAAATTCACAATTTTTTCAATGAAAATACCTTTTTACTGATTACATAAATAACAATAAATAAAATAAATAAAAAATAAACCCAATTACACTTAAAAATATATAAAACAAATTAATATTCACCTGAAATCTCATCACCACTTTTTCATGCCCATGCTTTCATATATTCATTTATGCAAATAAAATGTACAATTCTATGTAAAAGAAAATATACATACGCTATGTACATACACATATACCCAGGGACCTTTTTCTGCAATATTTATTTTCTTACCTCCCCCTCAGAAAACTAATATTAACAGCCTAATATGTATTCTTCTAATCCTTCCATAACTTTCTTCATTATTTTTTGCTCATATACTCTATTTTCTTTTATATATATGTGTATTTGATTTAGAATAAAAGGATCAAATTATATAAAGATCTTTACATTTGCTTTTCTCATGGAAATCCTTCCATGTTAAGTAGTATTTCTCAAATTTTAATACACATAGAATAGAAACCACTTAGGGATCTTTATAAAATGCAGATTCTGATTCAGTAGCTCTGCAGGGGGTAGGGAGGCGCATCCCGAGATTCTGCACTTCTGACCATTTCCCAGGTGGTGCCAAAGTTATTGCTGTGAAGACGACACTTTGAGTAGGAAGGGTATAGCGATCTATCTTACTCTTTATGTTAATGTATTCATATTTCATTCCTCAATACATTTAACAGTTCCATCACTATTAGAGACTTTCACTTTGTTTTTATGATTTTGCTACCACAGAAATTAGAACAGCCTTTCTCTCATTTCTGCATGCTTTATAGGTCACCTCTTTCCTATTGCTAAATAGCCCAGGGCTCTATGAACTGGAGATGGTGCCATCAGCTTAACGTGTTACTGCCTATTAACGTGATACAGTTGCCATTTTCTAGGTCCCTTAAACAGCGTGCTATCTACTTTAGGAGGTCTCCAGCACTGCCACCACTTGTTTTAGTCAATTCCATCTCACCTTTGGGAGTACTTAGACCCATCATGAAGTAAATGTATTGGAATGCATTCTTGGTCTGCTGGACACTTCACTGGCATCCACAATTGCGACGCATCCCAGACGTATAAGAAGTCAGAATTAGTACTTACAGAAACAACTTATTTTGACATTTACCAGATCGGGGTGTTAGAAGCTTACAAAGTCTTAGGGTGAAAATTCTTTTTTTTTTTTTTTTAATTTATTTTTAACAGATTGGGGTGTTATAAGCTTACAAAGTCTTGGAATGAAAATTATTTTTTTTTAATTTATTTTTCCAATGTATGGAATTCTTATTTATATTCAGTTATTTCTAATGCTAGAATGCCCACTTTTAAAATGTCCTGCCTAGGTATAATTGTGTCTTGTTTAATTTTTAAAATGTTTGTCATGAAGAATTGTTCTGAAAATGTGTCATGTGGCAATGTGATTATAAATTTGGCACTTCCAGCTCATTATGTTAATGCCATTTTTGCTACTTCAGTAGTGATTTTATATACCTTTATGCAGACAATAATGTACAGTAAATGTTCTTGTTTAACAGGTTCAGAACATGTCTCAGTCTATTGAAGTATTAAACTTGAGAACTCAGAGAGATTTCCAATATGTTTTAAAAATGGAAACTCAGATGAAAGGGCTGAAGGCCAAGTTTCGGCAGATTGAAGATGATCGGAAGACACTAATGACCAAGCATTTTCAAGTAGGTTTGACTTCTGCAATCCTGTCAATCCAAATGAGATACTGAGTGCAATGGACAGCCAGCATGGCACTCAGCTGGAAATAACTGTGCATTGGCCCGTATGGGCAAGGTTAAAGACTCACTGGGGACAGCAATCATCTCTCCACTGAAACTGACCATTAGCTGGTAGGAATGCATGGAAGCCTTGCTATAAATAGAGCCTCATCCTCCTGGATCTGGGTGGAGTTCCTAGACAGATTTACAGGCACTACAATATCTAAGACAACGGTAAATCCCAAGGAAAATTAAAATTAAATTATCAAAGTTTTCCTGATGATTTTATGCTTTACTAATATGAGGAGAAATAAAGAGTATATGAATTATTAAAATAGGCAATAATACCTCAATAAAAACATATAGAAAAGAGGGTTGTTTTATAATTTTATACAAATAAAGCCTTTTTCTAGATTTTAAATGGATTATTGGCAATTACCTAGAAAGATTGAACATGGAGAAAGAGTGGTGTTGAGCATGCTCAGAGGACTTTTATTAACTATGTATGACAGAGTCATAAATTCAAAAAAATCTGGGTCTGATAATGCCATTCAAGCCTCTGAAAAATAAGTAATCAGCCTTACTAAGATATAGCACATAGTGTATAAAACACACTGTGGTTGCCCACTTAATAGCTGGTTTTCTCTACCATTTAGGAAGTGAGATTCATTGCTGATGTTGATGGAGTGAACCTGAATTTAAGCACTTAGGGAAGGAAACAAGTGCTTTCTGCACAAATGATGACAGGCAGGAAGCTAGTCAGGGATATTCAAGAGGGTTTCCGCATAGCTCATTTTAATGTGGCAGAAATTTTCATGGTCTTGTAATTTTTTCCAGTGGCACTCAAAAGCCCGAATAGAGAGGTGTAGAAGACAGAGAGCCTTGCACTCAAATGATTTTAAATTTTTATCAGAAGGTCACAACAGAAAAGAAAGAGAGCCAGAAAGTGGAGGGTATTGACAAGGGAGAGGGCTGAAGTGATGAACCCAGGGATTTAAGTTGAAGAGAAGTAAAGCCAGAAGGTTACAAAATTAGGACAATCTAGAGCTAGAAGATACAAAAAATTTAAATATTATTGGAAATGAGAAAATGAGTGAACTGGATGAATAGAAAATTTATGGGAAAATGGTAAATAGAGAAGATATAAGGCTGAGGAGCAAGAGAAATAAATTTAACCAGCATTTATTGAGCAAATACCTTATTATTGCTCAAGGTAGTACTGGGCGCTCTGCTGGATGTGTAGTACATAATCTCTCCTCTGTGAAAGACAACTAACAGACAAGTGAAATGAGGGTGAATAGAAGCATTACTTAAGAGCACAAAGGGAGGAGAGATTAATTGTGTATAGAGAAGATCAGAGGAAGAGTTATAAGATTTGGCAATATTCAAGAAAGCAGTTTTGTATTAATAAACGCCCACCCCCCTTCCTACTCCACTACTAAATTACAGGTGGATCAAGAAAACCAGAAGAGTTTCAATTTCAGTTTTCAATGCTCAGGATTAGTGTATAAATGGTAGAGCAGTAATGTGAACTCGATGATGAGGACATCAACAAAGTAGGAAGTGCAGGCGGAGCTTTACCCAGAAAGGAAGAGACACAAGAGGAGGGGGACTCGGTTGTCTGCTGCAGATGGGCGATGCAGTGAGAATCTGAGAAGCCAAGACGTAACTTGAGGGCACTAGGGCTAGCAGGACCAGGGACACGTGGAGAAGCATGTGCATGTTTGGGAATACTGTGAGAAGAGAGGAAACAAAAAGATACAAAGCTGAGAGAAACCTAAAGAGAATTTGCCTGGTCTATAAATTGCCTAACAACAGCCAGGCTAACAAAACTTAATATTCAGGCAGCACCATGTGACATAATGATTTGGATTTTCGTAGTTCATACAATCCTTGTATATGCTGAAGTTATCTGTCAAAATCCAAATAACAGTAAGAATGATAACAGTAACGATTTTTTTTGCAACAATCACACGTATTCAAGGCACTGTTCTGAGTAGTTCAATTAATTTAATCCTCACAATGGTCCAGTACGGTGGGCACTACTTTTACCTTCATTTTACAGATAAGGAAACTGATCCACAAAGAGGCTGAGTAATTTGTCCAGGGACATATATCTAATATGTATCGGAGCTAAGACTCAAACCCACAGAATCCAGCTCTAGAGTTATGCCTCCTATTACCGATGCTACACTGCATCTCCAAATAATCTTTAGCTCTCTGAATTAAAAATAGCAACAATAATTAGATGCTCAACATATGTTCGTTGAATTTATTTATTCACTGAGTCCTCCCAGGAGTCATTTTGCTCTAGGTGCTCTGGTACCATGCTTAAAAAGAAAAAATGGAACATTCAAAAAGTAAGTTTAACGTTGAAGAACACTTTTAAAAATCCTCCTGTGATACACAATTTTCATCTTATCAAAACACTAAGTAGGTTTTCTTCTCTTGCACTCTTTCAGACGGAAGGCTTATGCCAGGTAACATCCTTAAGACTATAATTCTTGTATGAAGAGGATGTTGTTGGGCAAGACACTCTAGCTACATACAACCTTTACTGTAACAGCAACATAGTTGAAAGTGAAATATAGAAGGAATTAGCAAAAACAGATCTATGCTATGCTAATTTAACCTTTTAGTATATTGGTTGGACTTTTTAACTGATGTCTCACAGACATCCAGGGTTTTAAAATGGATTGCCAATAATCAAATTATGAACTTTTAATACATAAATACCAAATTTTTTAATTCAGAGGAAAAAATTTATCAAAACTTTGACATTGAATTGCTCTCTTTTAAATATGCCTATAATAGAATGTAACACCTTTTATTATAACAGTTGCTATACTATGCAGCAAATGGTACTAACAGAATTCTCATTAAAATCCTAATGAAACAATTGTGTCTTCCTTTAGGGATGCCACAAGATGCTCAATCTAATAAGTTTATTTCAAAATAAACCGCAAAAAAATGAGCAAACCTCTGCAAATCTCCCTTTTGACTGTGATATTTATGAATCTTTCTCATTATTAAGACTCTCTTTACCCTCCCACTCAACATACACAAGTAGACACATTCAAAGATTTTCTATTTAGAGAGCAAGTGGAAATTTCCCCACAAGAAACACAAGGCCATAAATCAGAGCAGCAATGGGAGCTCCTGCTATTTTAGTGCATTTATAGTAATAACATCTTCTAAATGTAATCTAAAAATGCAATTTTCAGTTCCTTAAATTAGTGTACAGCATGGTTTCTGACAGAACCTATGGATAATTCTCAAATCGTAAGAGTGACAGCTCTTTCCATAAATGATGCCGATGCCATATACAATAAATTCACAATGAAATCAAACTCCTGAAATACTTTTGACCACTACCACCAAGTTAAAGAAAAAGAAGTAAAAGTGTCACGTCAAGAAACTGCAGGTGAAACTGCAGGTATGGCTCGGTCTTGTGATGTCTAGGAGTGAGGGACATTTTGAAAAGATATGTGTCCTGTTCTTTTGACAAAAATCAACATTTCAGTTTCAACCAACTCTGTGCAGCTGGCTTGTCTATTATATAAACTATGCACCATGGTCCCTTAAAGAGTTGATTTACTCTAAGGGTAAGCAATTCTGCCTTACATAATGATCTCTAAATTATCTATGCTAAGACAAATGGAGTCAAAGCATAGGTAATAATTCAAAATGGTAAACAGCAACACATATTTCTTTGAGCTTTGCATGATTTATTATACTTGCTGAACTTACCTCCTTAATGAAGTTGTTCTAAGATGGATATTAAAGAGAGCAAAGAATACCTGAGCACACTGTTAGGACAAGGTGGTAGATGGTGATGATGGGAAAAATTCTTAGTAAAAAGCTGATCCAGGTCCAAAATTTCCTGTATGGTTATGCAAAAAGTCAGTAATTAGACTTAACTGAACAGTCATAGGATACGTGAATTTTTTCTAATAATTTTATTCAAACAATTCATAATGAAAAGATGAATCCTGCTTATATTTCCTAACTAGGTAATGCATCATTCACTTTATAAAATGCTACCAGAAAGGGAGATAATACATAAACGCACAATTGCTAGCATAGGAAGTTTTCCTAATTATGACAAGTATCAATTTGTTTTGTACAAAAGCGTGTAACTGTTTAAAGAAAGGTTCTTATATGGAAAAGCTGAGATAAGTGGATTTACTAATAATAATCATGTGGCCACTTACATTTTCATAAAATACCTAATTTCAACCAAAACTCAATAAGGAATTTCTAAGCTGTTTTAATAATCTCTTTTAAGTATCATAATAAAAAGAACATAGCTGCTTGATCTGTTTTAAATGACTCTCAGGAATAATCAGCTGATTTTCACAGGAGTTGAAAGAGAAGATGGACGAGCTCCTACCCTTGATCCCAGTGCTGGAGCAATACAAAACAGATGCCAAGTTAATCACCCAATTCAAAGAGGAAATCCGGAATCTGTCTGCTGTCCTCACTGGGATTCAGGAGGAAATCGGTGCCTATGACTATGAGGAACTACATCAAAGGGTGCTTAGCTTGGAAACTAGACTTCGTGACTGCATGAAAAAGCTAAGTGAGTAGAACAATTTCATTTGTCTAAGTTGTGCTTTTAAGTAGTTTCCATGAAAACTGCATTCATACATTTTGCAAATAATTATAAAGTATCTAATTATAGGGAAACCAGTGCCTGCTTCCTAAGTGCAAAGAGTCTCTTAATGACTTGAGCATATCTGGGTACTCAGTGTTACTTGATTAACAGTTTCCTGATTTTCAAAGCACCATGTTACCATTTGATGGCTTGATATAAGTAAGCAAATCAGTCCAGCAAATACAGCCAACTCTATTGATTACACTAGTGGAAATATGTTTTATTTTTTAATATGTAATGGTAAGTCATTGCTTGGCTAGGGAAGAGAGGAGGCATTTTTTGTAGTGGAGAGAATTAAGGGCTGGGGAAAAGGAAGCTACCCTGGGACCAAATGGGAAACAATGAATAAAGAAAATTAAAACAATTTTTCCACTATGCAGAATTGTCCTCAACTCTTCTGATCTACTCAAGAAATAAAAAGGAGGCACCTACTTAAATAGAAATTTGCCACTCTGCAAGGAGTCAGGCATGTGGCATGGGTTATACATTCCTGTTCTTGCCTCCTAAAATGTGTGGTTCAATCTGGTCAGAGTTGACAAACTCTACCATCGCATCCATGAACTATTAAACTGAAGTCATCATGGAACTTGTCTGCAACTTGAATGTAAAATAAAAAGTAGCCATGAATTGAATAAGCAGGTGTGGTAAGTCTATTTCAGAACAGCATTTTAGTTGTTGACATAATTTGACACCACAGAGAGGGCAACTCAATAACCACAGAAAAGTGTTCTCTCAAGGTAAATAAAAACTTTTCTGGAATAGGAAATAAACTGGAAAAAAGAGTACACATTTGAAAAAAAATTATTAATTCGTTTCTATGTTAACTATTCTGATTAGACCATTATACACTATATGCATGTATTGAAATGACAAATTGTACCCTATAAACATATACAATGGGGAAAAAATTAAAATAAGAAAAAAGAAAACTTCAGTGAATAAGTGTTAACATTTAAAACAAATTTGAATGGCTCACACAAACATTTTAAAGACCATCTTACAAATGTGATTCAGGTTAGCAAAGGAGAGCCAAAATATGAAATGTTCAGTTATCACAGTCTCAAAACAATGTGGGGTATTGCCACGTCAAAGTCTCTGCGGTAGTCATCCCAGGATTTCCAAGAGAATCCAACAAAATTAATCAGAAGGAAATAAGGTAAACCTGGAGGCTAAACACATGGACAGCAATCCTCAGCTCATTTCTCATCAGGCAAGATCCACACTTTTTCATCTATTACTGGTCTCCTAACAATCCACTATATAGATTCCATGACTCCAGTTCCTGCTCCTCTCCAACTCATTGTTCACATTATTGCCAAAGGGATTACCTGAAGTATAAATCTATAATTATTTTGCTCTGCTTACAGCCTATGGGTTCCTTGTGCTCTGGGCTGTTGAGGTCCTCCCCATGTGGCCTCCCTCCTCCTCTAGTCTTAAGTCTTGCCACTTTTCCCCTCACATGCTGTGTCCCAGCCCCATGGGCTTTGTACTCCCTTACCGTGGGGCCATGCTATTTGCTCCTGCTCCTGAAATACTCTTTCCCTGTGTACCCTCTCTCTGTCAACATATCTTCTCCTGCCACATGTAACAATCTCCTATTCATTCTTCAAGTCTCAGTTTGTATGTCATGTCTTGCCAGAATTCCTCATTGTCTTCCCAGACTAGCCTCTGTGTCCCTGCTAGGCTCTCCCAAACTCTGATATTTTACTAATGATTGAATAGTTTTATGTTTTGTTGTCACTGTTGGTATAATTAAATGTCTCTTTTTAGACTTTTGTTCCATGAGGACAAAAACAATGTCTATCACGTTCACTCTACCTATTGTATCTCCCAATGCCTAGAACACTACCTAGCAAAGAAAAGAATTGTATTATCTTTTTTTCTTTTTTCTTTTTTCTTTTTGTCTTTTTTACTGACCGGTAACGGGATCACAACCCTCGGTGTCGCACCCGTACCGGGGACCGGCAACGGGATCGCAACCATTGGTGTTGCGCCCGCACCACGCTCAGCCAGTGAGCGGGAACCGGTCTCCACATGGGATCCAAACCCTCAGCGGGAGCGCTGCCACGCTCCCAAGTGGCGCACTCTCCAGTGTGCCACCAGGCCAGCCCGAATTGTATTATCTTTTAGTTTCACTTTTCCAGAAACTATTTACCTACTTATTTAATTATTTTATTATTTTTTTCAATTTTTTTTACTAATTTTTTTTACTATTCAAAGAAAATGTAATTTTATTAATATTATTTTGTAACATTCTAGGTTTTTGTTCAGAGCAGTTGGGAGGGTGGGGGAGAGGGGAAAGGGGAAGGAAATGTGATGGAAAAGGAGGAAGGAGGAGGGGCAGGATTGAGGCCTGTGGCACCCCTGTCATTCCCACAGGGGAGACTGGGGGCTTCCAGTGGTGGCTTGGTCTTTGCCAGGCTGGGTGCAGATGTCAAAGGGTTGTGGCAAAAGCCCTTGCCCCCACCACCCCAGCTCACCCCCCCACTGTCCAAGCACAGGAACCCGGAGCCCTTCTTGCTGCAGCTTGATGGTCATTGCTGGGCTAGTTGCCATTGTCAAGGCATTGTGGCCAAGGCCCTCTACCCCCACTCTTGGGACTGGTTGTGGGTGTCGGGGGGGCTTGGCTGAGATCCCCAGACCTACCCACTTTCAGGCGTGGTAGCCCAGGGGACTTCCAGTCCTTCCAGGTGTTATAGGTATTTTTTGGTGAAATGAAAACTTTACTAGTTAATATCAAACTTTGTCTCTGGTTGTGGGTACTTTGTTTTTTCTTTCAGTTCTGTGTTAGATTATTTGCTGTTCCCATCACTTAAACTCTGCACTGGAACTAATTTGTTGTCCTTTGCTTACTTCTAAAGTAGGGGAACTTCCTATGGGGACCAGTACTTGAGCTGTGTGGTTGAGCTAAATTGCTGCTTTGCTGCTGATTCCCTAGGAAAGGCTTTTTGTGCAGCTCAGGTTTTAATGGTTGACTTTATAGGTGCTTTCCAGTCTAGTAAAATCCTGTGCAGGGTTGTGTAGAAACACTGGTGTGGGCCTGAGTCTTTTCATCAAGCTGCACTTCATGCAATTCTATATTCCTGACCAGTCTCCTCTGAGTGGTCCTACACTGATTGGGGGGCAGATCAGCTGTCCTTGCTGTGCCCCAGTGTTCTCCTGATGGGCCTGTCTCCCCCATTGCCCATGCTCCAAACACCTCCCATGGGACTGGCCATGCACTGGTCCCTTTAGGTGACTCACTGGCCTCTAGTGACACTTTTTTCTCAGTTGTTGTGGTTCCTCCCTCCCATGTGGGTCCATGGGACCCATATTAGTGGTCTTGCTGGCCTGAGGGCCACAAGGCCCTCTTCTTTCCTGTTGCCTCCAAGCAACTTCATCTGAAGGGTACAGCTGCAGCTTTTGCTGGCTCCTGCTCCTTGCGCTCAGCAGCTCCAGCCTGGAAGTGGCCGGGGCTCAAAATGGTAAAGCAGTTTCTTTTTTCTTCCATCATGGCTTCTCCTGCCTTCATGAACTCCACAGTTCTCTCCTCCTTTTCCCCTGAGTTCTAATGGCCCCTGCTTGGCTATTGTTGCTTTTTTATAGTTGTAAATTAGTTGATTTGTGGGAGAGAGTGATGCTGGGGACCATCTATTCCACCATCTTGACCAGTATCTTTTTCAATTTTATTTATATTTATTTTTGTGGGGTAAAATGTGTTGTTTCAATACATGTGTATACTGAACAATGATTCACTTATGGTAGATAGCATAGTTTTGTACCCTTTAGTCCTATTTTACTACAAACTTTTTAAAGTATCCTCATACAGGGAAGTACAAAACCACATGGTCCCTAAAAAAATAAATAAATGAGTCTTCATATTTTCTATTAAATAAAG